TGCATTTTTTTGCTATTGCCAAGTTGAAGAGGCTATGGCTGGCCCCAGGCTCCACCCCGACCAGCGCTGGGTGATCCACATGGTTATCCCCGTTATTTGGCTGAGTGTGAATGATTGCATGAATCGGAACCACGACTCGGTGGGGATGATGGTGTTTGGGCGACAGAGCACAGTCAGTAAGGGGCCTGTCTGATACTGACTCTTCCCATTTCCTAGCTCTTTTTCGTTGTTCCTCTACGCCGGCGTTCTCTCGGGGCACTCTGCATATTTGTGACCCGGCTTCCCACGCTTAAAAAACAACCCGTTGTAGGGGTGGTCTGGTGCATATACTCCGTTGATTGTGGCACGTTGGGTCTGACTGCGAAAACGGTTTCCCTTCTGAGAACCTGTTCTCGCGTACTGCATCAGTGCATTTGTGGATTCTGCCAACCATGCTTCTTCCAGGAACGTTGTCGGGTGGCTTCGGCACACCTCGTACTATATCTCATCTTTAAGGCCGCTAACGTACTTATCTAACCACTCTGCCTCCGACATATCGTCCACTTGGTCAGCAAGGGCCATGAATGACGTTGTGTAGTCTTGGACAGATGCCAACTATGACCAGGCGCGCAGCTTCATGCGAGCTTTTTCCGAGCCGGATATGTGCTCGAAGCGATCTCGTAAGACCGTGCCCCACTCCTTCCACGTGCGTATCTTGGTCACGCCGAATATCGGTGCTGCCACTTGAATAACCGATGTTGGAGTCCCGTCTGCCGTATGTGTCATACCTGTTGGGGTCCCCATGCCCAAGGTACGTTGCCACCACTCCAGAGCTGCTCCTCGGAGAAGTGAAACCACGTACTTAATACGCGTGGCATCATCGGCTGCACTAAAGAAGGCTTCCACGCCGAACAACCACCCCTTTAGTGTAGTCGTCTTGTCGCTAGGGTTGAACGGGGGCGGGCTCGTGAGTTTAATCTTGATTGTAGTACCTGCAAGTGTCGATGGCACCGATGTTGCCAGCCGTTCGCTCTCATCATTGCCTCGTATGAGCTCGCCACTTGTGATGGCTCCGCTTGCTCCATGGCTGGCGGTGTCACCTTCTTCATCGGGCGACTCTTGACGTGCTTCGCCTTGAGGGCAGAGGGGTGTTCATGGCCTTTCAGGCAAGAAAGCAAAAACTATTGGAGTAGGGCAGGTTAGAGTTAACGAACCTTGCAGCCAACCATTTTCCAGTCTCCTGTACCAGCCAACCCGTGCCTCCAAACTACCCTCGAAAATCGGGGTGAACTAGGAAAGTAGCTCTGATACCATGTGTTATGATTTGTAAAAGAGAGTGCGCGGAGTAACGAATATCGAGGCTGTGACTCAATGAACTGACGGTACAATGAAAGGCACACGATTATATAGCGGGATAACCTAACTAGGCGGGAACCTCGGGAACGCGAGGTTGGGTGTAGGTTGGGCAACGGAAAGCCGAAGGTGACACGAGGTTGCTTCGGCAGCAAGCTAAGTGGCCGAACGTGCACTTCCGAAAGTCGGGGTTGTACGCGGTTGAGTAAACCCCAGTAAGGAAAAGTGTTTTTCCTTACAGTATAGCCCGTGCTCCATCGGGGGCGAATTTCGCAATTTCGAAGATGTTCTACACGGTATTGTACGCATTGAACAACGTCACGGTACCGTAAGCCCCCAGATAGAAGCATAGGCTTCAGATAAGCACCGGCGCTTATAAAAGGATGACAGCATTTATATCCGGTCCTTGATTAAAAGCCCACCCCCTAAAAAAATATGATTTATTATAAGCGCATGTTGGTTTTTCATTTGAAAACTCGACGAAATACAGAAACAAATTTCACATTATCAGGGAAACGAACAACAAATTCGATTTCCCACACTATGATCTCACTTTTTGTGCGTCTAGTCAGCATGTGCTGTCATTCTGTCAGTTTGAGTTGGCAGGGAATCACTCCCTGCCAAGCTGCACGAGAATCAGATTCGCGACCCTATATGTTTTTGACTCGATTACAATCGGCAGAAAGAGATCTACAGTTTGGTGTAAAACATTTGCCATTTTATAAATGCCGGCGCTTTAAAATTCCTCGATTATAAAATGCACCCCCTAAAAAACAGTGCTTTTTTATACCCCCAGGGGCGCTTCTATCCGAGGGCTGACGATACGGTGCAAAACGGTCAACGTTTGAAGTTTGAGAAAATGCTTAGGATGCACCGCGGCTTTTGTTGTTGAAATAGGAGCTTAGGCTAAGAAGCCATAGCTAGGTTTTAGGGTATATGAAAGAGAAATAGGAGAAGAAGGAGTTTCACTAGCAGCAATGAGGATACATATAGCAAACCCTAGATGGGTTGTACTCGCTATAGAGCACCCCACTACAGGCTAGAGAATAACATTCTGACACACCCCCATAGCCAAAGTGGGGTGTAATCAGCACAACAAGAAAAGCAAAAACAAGCTCAGGGTGGATCACAATGTCACCACACATTCTGAGCACAAGTACAAGCAGCAGCAGTTTATAGTTCACAAATATAAGCAAAGCTAGAGCTAATCACAGAGGGCAAGTGAGGAGGAGGAGAGACTGTGGAGGGAGAGAAGATGGGAGGCAACGACTGAAGCTGCAGAGGCACGGGCACAGGAGCGGCTGACTCAGAGGCTACCGAAGCAAGGGCGACGGACTACTGGAGTGACTGGCTCCGCGGCTATAGACGAGCGGCAGGAGCAACGGACCCACTGGCGACTGGTGCAACAGGCTCACTGGCTACCGAAGCAAGGGCGACGGACTACAGGCGCTGCAGGCGACAAGACAGCTACCTTCACACAACCTCCTCCAACTGCCCCACTCCCCTCTCACACACCCCCTGTTCAAACCCTAGCTCCACTCCCACAGCACCCCCCTTAAACCCTAAACCCTAGGCTCCCACACACCCAACCCCCTCAGCGACAGCTGCAGCAGTGGGAGACAAGGGAGGAGGAGGAGCAAAGGGAGGAACACATAACCGCCACCCCCACACCCGCCACCCCCACACCCGCCACCCCCATGCTCTGCACCCCACACCCCCAGCACCACGGAAGGCACGGGGGGGGGGGGGGGGGGGGGGAACGGGATGGGCTGCAGGTGTGGGCTGCTCCAGGGGCGGCCGTTGCAGGTGCGGGCTGCTCCAGGGGCGGCTGCTGCAGTTGCGGGCTGCTCCAGGGGCGGCTGCTGCAGTTGCGGGCTGCTCCAGGGGGGGGGGGTTGCTGCAGATGAAAGGTAGGAGGGAGGGGAGGGGAAGGGCGCGGCCACCAGGGCGCCCCGACGGGCGACGAGCTAGGGAGCCGCGCGGGCCCCCGAGAGCGCTTCGACGGGCGACGGAAGGGGACCGCGCGCGGGCCCCCAAAGCGCCGCGACGAGGCGACGGTTGGGGCCGGCGCGCGGCCCCCAAGGCGCCGCGACGAGGCGACGGGAGGGGCCGGCTCGCGGGTCCCCAAGGCGCCGCGACGAGGCGACGGGAGGGGCCGGCTCGCGGGCCCCCAAAGCGCCGCGACGAGGCGACGGGAGAGGCCAGCGTGCGGGCCCCCAAAACGCCGCGACGAGGCGACGGTTGGGGCCGGCGCGCGGGCCCCCAAGGCGCCGCGACGAGGTGACGGGAGGGGCCGGCGCGCTGGCCCGCAGGGCACCGCACGAAGCAGGAACCCGCCGCGCGCCTCGGGACGCACGGCGGGCAGAAAACCGCCACGCGCCCGGAGCGCGTGGCGGGAAGAAAAATAGGAGGTCGCGCGCCACGGGGCGCGCGACACACAGTAGGGCAGCGGAAGCAGGTGGGCCCACAGGCCAGGAGCGTATCGCTCTGATAGCATGTTGAAATAGGAGCTTAGGCTAAGAAGCCATAGCTAGGTTTTAGGGTATATGAAAGAGAAATAGGAGAAGAAGGAGTTTCACTAGCACCAATGAGGATACATATAGCAAACCCTAGATGGGTTGTACTCACTATAGAGCACCCCACCACAGGCTAGAGAATAACATTCTGACATTTGTGTGTCTCACTATGCCAGTATTCAATTTCAAAACAGTATTTCAACAATCTGCACACCATTCTAATACATGTTATTTTGAGCATTTCTTCCATGGTGTGGAATGAGTACATAATGTGACTCTCAAATATTTATAACTTGAACTTTCTAACAATGTGTGCAACGCACAACAGTCACACAGTGTTTGCGTTGAACAACAATCTATTTAAATTCCATGTTTGTTTTTTTTTTATTCGGCAACCGTATCACATGCGTCGCAACAAACCAACCACGGTGTTGCCATAATTCGATTGTGTCTAAATCCCAGCCACTAGACCACTGGGCTAAAGTGGCTTGTTATGCAGCGGGTGAGTGCACTCATAACCCCCCCCCCCGTCAGGTCCCCCTGTTATCAGTGGAAAAGATGCTGATTTCATTGAAAAAATCACAGCTTTCTCTGGTTTAGGCTGGGCTTGCCGCGCCTGCCCGATGCAGCAATAGCAGCTTTAACCTTCTTAGCAGGAGCGGGCTCTGCAAAAGAAGCGGAGGCAGCAGAGACAAGGAGTTTGGGAGGGGCACACCCCTAGAAGATTGGGGGTATCGGATCACCAATAGTCATGGCGATGGTGTGGAGGTGGCTCTCGATCTTCATGAGACTGGTAAAAAAAAGATCAAGAGTAAGCTGAGTAGGGTGCTTAGCGAGGAGGGTATCACGAGCGGCAACAAGGCGGCCAGGGAGGCAATTCATGGGGACGTATAGGGTGAGATAGACATGGGAGCGAGCGTCAAGTGAGCGAAGGTTGGTCATCAGGTCGGCAACAGTGTGAAACGTAGGTAAGTCAAGAAAGAGAAAATGCATGATGAGACGGCCTAGGGTAGCAGACGAACGGGTGGAATAACATGTAGTGATAGCGACTACCAGTAGCACCCCTTTGCCATCCTGACCTGGCAAAAAATCAGTGGAATGGTAAGAGTGGATTGGTAGTGGCAACAGTGGCATCTCGGGCAGCAGTGACGACTACGGCGGCTGAAGAGGTGAGGCCAACTTTGGCAATGAGAGTGCGGGCTGCAGCACACGTAGCTGCACTAGCGGTTGCGTGGATCCTGGAGCGCCGTGGGCAGCGGTGGCACGAGTGGCAGGGCAGTGTCGGTTGTGCAGCGGTGCAGGAAGTGGTAACAGCATGGGCAGCAGTGGCGGCGTGGGTGGCAGGGCATTGGCGTTTCTGTAGGGGCACAGGTAGTGGCGGTGGCGTGGGCAGTAGTTGCGGCACGTGTGGAGGTAGCTGCAGTGCAAGCATTGGTGCAAGCGCAACTGCACGGGCTTGAGCAGCTGCGCACATAGTTGCACGAGCAGTAGCGCGCGCGGTAGCGCGAGTAGAGGCACGAGCAGTGGCCGTGCGGCAAGGGAGTGGCACCTTGGGAAGCAAGGGAGTGGAACCTTGGGAAGCAAGGGAGTCACCTTGGGAAGCAAGGGAGTGGCACCTTTGGAAGCAAGGGAGTCACCTTGGGAAGCAAGGGAGTGGCACCTTTGGAAGCAAGGGAGTCACCTTGGCAAGCAAGGGAGCCATCTTGGGAAGCAAGGGAGTCACCTTGGGAAGCAAGGGAGTCACCTTGGGAAGCAAGGGAGTCACCTTGGGAAGCAAGGGAGTCACCTTGGGAAGCAAGAGAGTCACCTTGGGAAGCAAGGGAGTCACCTTGGGAAGCAAGGGAGTCACCTTGGGAAGCAAGGGGGTGGCACCTTGGGAAGCAAGGGAGACACCTTGGCAAGCAAGGGAAGCAAGGGAGTCACCTTGGGAAGCAAGGGAGTCACCTTGGGAAGCAAGGGAGTCACCTTGGGAAGCAAGGGGGTGGCACCTTGGGAAGCAAGGGAGACACCTTGGCAAGCAAGGGAGTCACCTTGGGAAGCAAGGGAGTCACCTTGGGAAGCAAATGAGTCACCTTGGACATCACAAGCGTGCGGTTGGTGACTTGGGCGAAGCGGGCAGCCTCTACGAGGTGAGAGCGTGTGTTTAGAGCTGCTCATCGGAGTAGGCAAATACGAGGAACCTGCGCGTACTGGTCGCCTGGGGGGGGATGGAATGCATGAGTGGGAAATGGGGCAGGTGCAGGAGCGAGTTTTTAGACTTTACAGTAGTGCTCCTGGGCCCTGGGGGACCTGGGGTGGTGGAACGGAGAGAGTGGGAGGGAAGAAGAGGGGACGGGGGAAGAGGGGCAAAAGGAAGTACTGAGAGCTGCTCATTTTGGTGGAAACTGGGGCACGTGAGTGGGGGATGCTATAGACTTCTCAGCATTACTTCTGCGCCCTGGTGCAGCGGGGAGAATGGAATGGAGGGCGTGTGGATTGGGGCAGGTGAATGGGGAGGGGAAGGGAGGAACAGAGAGCTGCTTGTTATAGTGGGCAACGTGGGGAAGCTTGCGTGCTCTTATGGACTGAGGGCAGAATAAGAAGAGGCGGTTAAGATGAGAAAGAGGGGAGGAGGGCAGGAGGTGAGGGGGAAGAGGGAGGAGGATAGGGAAGGAAAGGGGGGCACCATGACATTGGAGAAGGGCATGTGCGGTGTTAGAATAAGGACAAAGTCTATGTAGATTAGAAGGGCCGAAATAACTCAAATCGTTGGACTAGTTTCTGGACAGAAATGTCGACTTCACAAGAAACGTCGTCGACGAAACGTTTTCTTGTTAAAACTTCACCAGTTTCAAATATGTTGTAGCAATAGACCGTGGCTACAATTCCCAATATGAATCGCATGAAAAGGTGAAGTATTTCTTGAGTTATGAATTTCGGCGCACTAGGGGGTATGCTGGAGCTTAAACTTAACTCAATCCCAATATTCTCCCAAGAGCCACACAAGGAATTAGAGAAGCAAGAAACCAGGTGGGAGGGGATGAGGATGACAAGAGAGAAGGTCCCCAGGGAGTCCCCAACCAAGGAAACCCCATAAGCACACGATTTCCCCTCCCTATAGGAACCAAAATTTGACCCTTGTCATTTTCCCAACCCATGCTATCCACCTCACTCCAACTTGGCCACACTTGCCAACCTGGTTTGGATTCTCCCAACCACTTGGCAGCAACTACCGTGATGGTGACGAATTTCCCAACCCCCAATGGTCTATACCCCTCATGGAGTCACCCCACAAATTCCCAAAGTTGCCGCAACGAAATATCACAAGCATACGAACTTCAACCGTTCGTATCTTTCTTGTCCGTGCTCCGATCGCGACGATTCTTGATTCGTCGGGAAGCTCTTGAACGGAGAAGTCATTTCAGATATCTTCTCAAACAAGATAACATTCACACACACTCAGAAAATTCAAACCACACCAAACACAAGTTCTTTGCACACGCTCACACCACGCATGCAACGCACGAACATATGATGGGAGGCAGACATACGTGAATGCAAATGTTAGCATCACATAACAAACTCCCCCTCTGGCTGCCAACCATCATCCCACATGCCTCAGCTCATGCATGCACAATCAATGCACACTCATCCCAGTAAGCTTCATGCGCTTCTAATGCTCGGGTTCAGCCATGCACTTGGTGAGAATGTCAGCCGCCTGCTGCTGGGTCTTCACCACCTCCAGTCGCACCTCCTTGTCCAAGAGCATCCTCACCCAATGCCAGTTAGGCATGATGTGCTTTGTCAGCCCATGCAGACAAGCATTCTTGGCCAACTTCACAGCCGAATCGTTGTCACAAAACATCATAGTCAGCTACTTCTGGCACACTCCGATTTCCACCAACAAATGCCTCAGCCACACCACCTCCTTAGCCCCATGATATAGGGCCATATACTCTGTCTCACACGAAGACAGCCCCACCTCATTCTGCTACTCCAGCTCACTGCACCACCACCTGTCTCACACGAAGACAGCCCCACCTCATTCTGCTACTCCAACTCACTGCACCACCACCAAACAGGCACACGTAGCCTCCAATTCTGGTGCCATCTACCTTCATAGAGTTGAAGCTAGCGTATGTGTAGCAGGTTAAGAGCATCTCCCCCTTGCTCAAATCAGTTGCACCCCTCTGCAGCCTTAGTCTCACAACACTGTACTCCAAGCCCACATATGCTGTAGCACTCACATAGGGGACCAACCTTTTGGCCGCTTCTAGCTGCTCATGACTGGGGAGTGAGACCACACTAGCAAGCCTGGATATAGCAAAGGCAATGTCAAGACATGTGTGGTTCGCAACATAGTCGAGTGCCCCAACCATGGAATGAACAGCTTCCTGTCACTTTCACCCACCACCTCCTCATCAGCACAGGGCTCCACAGTGAACCCCGAAGGCAGTGGGGTTGCTGGCTTTCCTCCATCCTGCAGCTCGTACTTCTTGGTCAGCCCCTCACAATACTTCCTCTGGTGCAACCTCAACACTCCCTTGTCAAGGTCCCTCTCCACATGCATCCCCAAATAGTACTTCTTATCTCCCATCTTCGAGCACTTGAACTGCATCTCCAGCATCTCCTCCACAAGGTCAATCATAGCAAGCGACTCAGAGAAGAGAAGGATGTCGTCCACATACACCAGCAGCATGAGGAACTCCTCCTTCTCTTGCAGCAGGAACAGGCTGTGATCACACTCACTCTTCTTGAACCCCCCAGCCAGCGGTGTCTCCTCCAGCTTATGGTACCATGCACGAGGAGCCTGCTTCAGGCTATAGATGGCCTTCTTCGGCCTACACACCCTGCCGCTCCCATCATCCAAACCCTCAGGCTGCAGCATGTACAACTCCTCTAAAATGATCCCAATGAGGAAAGCAGTAGTGATATCCATCTGCTTGATCCTCCATCCGCGGTTTGCAGCCGCTCCCAACATCACCCTAGGTGTTGTCCCTTTCCCCACAGGAGCAAAGATCTCGTCGAAGTCCTTTCCCTTTGTCTGCTGAAACCCCTTAGCCACAAGCCTTGACTTGTGACAGGTCAGCTCCCCATCAGGTCCATACTTGTGCCTGAAAATCAGCTTTGAGGAAATGACCTTCTTCCCATGAGGCAACTTACACAACTCCCACGTCTCATTCTCCAGCAGGGAGTCGTATTCCTCCTTAACACTCTGCTTCCACTTTCAGCATCGGTCCCACTCAACGCTTCAGCTAGCGTCTTGGGCTCAGGGACGGCTGCCCAGTAGCAGTGCGCTCATCCTCATCACACTGCTCAGTCACACTCCCAGCCCGTACCACCTTTGGCGTGCAGCGACTCGGATAGGTTAGTCTGGTAGGAGGGCGCACATCCCTCATAGGACGCTCCGGCGGCTGTTGCTGCTGCAGCGACTGCTACTGCTGCTGCTGCTCCACCTCAGGTTCTCCCCCATCCTCAGTCACCTCAGGTATCTCCTCCTCAGACACAGACACTTCCACCTACCTTGAAGGCCGCTGCACCTCATCGGCCTCAACAATGAGCGGTGTCGTAGGAAGCTACTGCTGCTCCTGCTTCCACTCCTTGTAGTACAGGGACTCGAGGAACTTCACATCCCTTGACACAGTCAGCTTTTGGCTGGTCAAGTCCCACAACAACCAGCCCTTGTGATCCTTGGCAATGCGCAAATGTACACCCCATCTTCCACAAGCCTCCAGCTTCCCCCTTTTCTCCTTAGGCACATGAAACACCACCATGTAGCCATAGGCTCTCAGCATGTTGACTGCTGGTGCACTCCCATACCACTTGGTGTAGGGGACCCACTGCTTGTCCCCAATAGCCATCAACACCCTGTTCTTCACAAGGGCGACCTGCCGTAGTGCAGTCACAGAAAACGGATTCAGCAGCCCTGCACGCCCAACGAGAGTGCGAGAACCTTCCTGCAGGGTTCGGTTGAACCGCTCAGCCACGCCGTTTTGCTGAGGGTTGTAGGACACTGTGAGCAAATGCTGGATCCCCTTACTCTTCAGCTCCTTCTCAAAATCACTACCAATGAACTCTCCCCCATTGTCGGTGCGGATCACCTTCACCTTGTGTCCGCTCTCCCTACTGGGACGTGTGAGAGTACGACGGCTCTGCCTGCTGAAATTTACCTTATTATGCTTTACCTTGCTTAGTTCCATTTTCTCATGCATGCTTTTGCTCGTTTTCCTTAGAAACGTTGCTTACTATATTTTGTTATATTTATAGCAACGTTCTAGGTTGCATGCACCGAATTCTAGGCTTTTCGGTTGCCACCGAATTGCTTCTACAGAATTCTGAAAGGACCCGTTCGAGACGCTTCGCGACCCGCGGAACCTTTTAGTAGCACCCAGGTACTGCCTTTGTATCGAGCCTATATATAGCCTCGTGTTGTACCCAAGTGATCATTGGATATTTTGTGAACCAGTTCTTCGATCCTCACACTGTTTGAACAGACACTGGAGAAGAAAGGTGTGTTGGAAGTGGACACTCGAATGGCCCGAAGTGGTCTCCCTAAGGGCTACAGGTGTCGTCATGGGGGGATATGGGTGCGCTGACCCACCAAGGAAACATGCCATTTTATCCCAGTCGGTTAGTGGACTGGAATGCTATCCCTACAAGGTGCACGCATTGTACTCGTCTTCTCAGCATTTTGTTGTCATCTTGGCAATAACGACAAGTGGATTGAAGTTGGTACAACATGTCGTGTTCAAGAGGAAGCACGTGCAGAAGGTCCCAATACATGACGGTAAGCCTGTAGCTGATTTGTTCTTGTATTTTTCCAGGCACAGATGTCGGATGATTGCTTCTTAGATGATTTGTCCTTCGGGCCCAGGAAAAGGGCTGGATGCACAAGGAGGCTCTGCTGACTTTAGATTCTTACTGTGGATATTGAAGGCTGCATCCCATTGGTGTAGCCTTTTGATGTGTCGGTTAACTGAAGCTTCAAGGCGGGGATGCGTCATCGCTTCTCAACGTGGTTCAAAGAGGAGGGCATACACAACAAAACACGGCCCAGTGAGCTGATTTCCCCGCATACTCGTTTATTTGTCGATTCTAACAAATGATGAAGCGCCTCCTTGCTTTCTACCCCCCCGCCCATAAGGAACCTAAAGAAACCACCTCAAGAGACCGTACTGAGGTGGATCGCCAAATCGTGGGCGGATGTGCCGGTGATGCTTGTCAGGAAGGCTTTCATGACGTGTGGGATCTCCTCAGCGGCAGACGGCTTAGATGGCCACCTCATCTTGGCCCATCACCGGGACATGGATGGGGTTGAAGTGCTGGATGACGTGTGGGAGGAGGGCGAGGACTAGACTCACCTCAACCTCTTCTATGAAGACCCAGAGGCGACCGCTGCAGAAGAAGAGGCGGATGAGGCAGAGACGGAGCTCCATGATAACACCAGCGCCATCTTGAGGAAGACGCAGAAGCGGACGCTGCTGACGCCATTGAGGAAGTCACTGAAGAAGACGCAGAAGAGGGCACCCCTGCTGCAGGCAGCGGTGCTGAGTGGAGTGATGCAGACGAGGAGTGGTGGGCTAGGCTCCAAATCGCCGAGGGTTAGGAAGTTGAATTCTGGGATGCGACCCAGGATGAGAGCTATACAAGAACTTGAATTCATGAATGCAACTTGATAGGAGTTAAAATATCAACTTCAGTAGGAAT